GTACCTCGTATTCCCGCGTGGGCAGTAACGTGCCAATTTGACCCCAGCGGCCGCCCCTTGGTGAGTGTTGCCAATATTGGGTTTATCGACTCTATAGATATTTTTCATGTCACACGTATTCTAACGCACGAGTTACTGCATGCGTTGGGTTTTGAAATTCAATTATTTAAAAATAAAAATATGATTGATAAAGTGTCTGTTCGTGATAAGCCAGCAAGTTATGTTCTGAAGTCGCCCAAAGTGGTGGAAGTCGCGAGGATTCATTACGGGTGCAGTACCATGCAGCACGTGGAGTTGGAGGATATGGGTGGCACAGAGTTTGTTGGCTCACACTGGAAGATGCGCAACGCAAAGGACGAGTTGATGGCTCCTTCCGATTCTGCAGGTTTCTACACTGCCATCACCATAGCAGCGATGGAGGACACGGGCTACTACAAAGGCAACTACCGCAATGCTGAAAGCATGACATGGGGTAGGAATGCCGGTTGTGTGCTCTTTGATAAGAAATGCGTTATTGACGGTGTGCCGCAGGTGCCGGAGATGTTCTGTGAAGGGGTAATCTCTTTGATAAGTGACTACAAGTGTACATCAGACCGGATGGGAATTGGTGTCTGCACGATATCTTTACGTGTTAACTTGCCAATATATTTCCAGTACTTTTCTAGATATGGATTTAGTGGGTCTAATATATTAATGGATTACTGTCCAATCATAATACCAGATTCAAACACTATGTGCTTAAATGGAGATGCAAGTATTCTCCCTGGTTCTGTGTTTTCAGAATATGCGCGATGCTTTTCAGCCGTCTCGAGCACTCATCTCCAGATAAGCGATGACCAAAATATGCTCGCTATTTGCGCAGACGTACAGTGTGACAAGGACACCTCGAGGTACCGTGTGCGCGTGAAGGGTGCCAGTGATTTCGTGGACTGTCCATCCGGTACTACCCTTGTGCTTTCGGACTACAGTACAGAGTTTAAGTCTGGTGTGATCACGTGCGCACCTTATGAGATTATATGCCCTGAAAATTATTATTATGGTGTAAACAACGACGAAGGTACTG